GAGCTGGAAAGCAGCACCCATAAGTGGATTCCCACCCAGAAAACACAGCACCTGAGCGGCAGCCCACAAACAATTGCTGGCGACAAATTGCCAATGACTCAAACGACACCATCGGCAACAGCAGCAATTTGTACAGCAGCAACTTGCAACAGCAACAGCAATTGTCGTAAAATGTTCCTTTGATTTTTCCATTCTTTTTTCGCAGCCCTTGTCTTGGGGCTCCCTTTATTTCCTTTATTTCTATATTTTCAAATAACAGCGGCAACAAAGTGGGCAGGGCACCACCAACCAGTCCCCCCATTTTCCCTGCACGTGACCAATGACAATTTGCGATCCACTGGCCATTTATGACCCCAACTTCAGTCGTTTTATTCGCTTTAGTCGTTGTTGTCGATTGGAGCTTTAATATTTCCTGCAGGCGGCATTTGTCGAGTCTTAGGCGCCTCCATCAAAATGTCGTGGGCGGATGTTGAAATGGCCTAGGAGGCGGGGTGGTGGCTCATAATGCCAATAATACGATTGCCGATTGCTTTATGGCCCAAAGTGGGGAATTGGCCAGTGGAACGAGTGACAGAGTCACCTAAATTAAGTCCGAAATTAGCCGGGCTTGGTTCTTCCCCAATAAAGTTCCTTTGTTATTTCCCCTGCTTGGGAAGTTGTAAAATATGGAAAATACTCGTTAGACCCTCGCCACCGCCCTGAGTTATTTTATTTGATTTTCATTGGATTGACTTTGGGCTTCGGCCCTCGGCAAAATTACTATTATGCATGAAGGAGCAACATGAAGACGGTTTTTGCCATCCTTCTCAGGGGTATTTTTTAATTGGAAAGAGGAGCCCGGGGGGATCCTCTAGGGAAACGTCCGAATATTGAAGAAATTGAGGTCGGATAAATGTCGGAAATTTTGTTTGTTGTGGGTCAACGCTTTCAATGTAAAGTATGTACCATCGCTACACTGATGTTTGTTTAATGCATAATTGGTGAACAAGTTCTGGAGCACAGCGGTATAGATGTTTTAAGGATTTCCCCTACGATTTTGGCACAGCTGACGTCCAATGGCGTGTCTGACCCACATCACCCTTCCAACCCAAGCACATCCAACTTTCTATCAACTGTCCAGAACGCAGCCCCACAGGTAATTCCCTAAATTAATATTTATGTACAGCCCACCGCCCTCTACTTGGTATATGCTTCTTTTTCACCGCCTGGCTTAACTTTATCATAATCTTGGCTGAAAAATCTAAGGCTCGCTGCATTCGTGGCAGCCGAACTAATTTTGTGATGGATTACTCAGCCGAGAGGGGGATCTTATATATTATAGCACTAGAGCCACCCACCGATACAGTACACTGCGACATAAACTTTCTAATGTGTAAAGGGCAAGAGGAACTGCAGTAATTCGCCCAAGTTCCATAACATGGAATATTTCGATTTGGAAAACATTTGCTTGAGTGCTGACGCGGTGCTGAAGGTTCCACTTATCGCCTCACCTGGCCGTCCATCCATCAGCAGTCTCCTCCTCCGCCTCCGCCTCCGCCTTATCAACCCCACCTGACCACTAATAGTGCCTCAAAGTGCATTCGCCTTTGTTGACATTTGTAAAATGCAAACAGAACACGCAACGGCGAAAGATAGTCCGTCTGGAAGGCGGATAGTGCTCCGATAGAGACTCGGATTCGGATAGACGCGGGGCTAGACGGAGTCTCACTGCAGCGGAGCCATCACTCAAAGTGATTAGATCGCCGAGCGGGTAATCGAGTGTAGCGCTCAAGATACGGATACACGGATACACGGTTACACGGATACGCGGACACACGGCCGGATGGATGGACGGATGGATAGATATATAGATAGATAGATGGATGGATCCAGATTACATATGTGGGAGCTGCAATTGGGTTTTCGGTTTTATTGCCCCAATGGGGCAAGTTGAGAATGCCAAAAGGAAATGGAAATGGAAACGGCCATGAGGTCGGAGTTCTTTCGAGTCGGGGTTGTCTGTATTTACGATATTGACACTAGAAATCGTGACTTTTCCATAATGAACGGGATTTACACGTGTTTATGGCAGGTCATAAATGGTTCGACACCTAAAGGAATTTTTCTCGCCGAGTTTTTACCCTCTTGGCCCATTTTCCTGGCGGTAGTTTCCTTTTGTGTTACCACACAGAGCAAAAGTCAATGCTGTAAATGGAATTATTATTAAAGCTCTCTCCCCTCCTGCTGCACTTCTATAAATGCGAGTATTTTCCAGCTAACAGGATTACACGAAGTTTTTAAACCATTCAGTTAACGTAAGTTGGTATTTTTCAACGACGTGGGTACTTAGTTCGTTTGCAGCATTTAGGATAGCGATTTTTAGCGTGGAAAGCGCTTTCCATATGTTTCCCTTATCGACTGATTAAATTTTCCGAGTGCATCCTGCGCTGCTTTCCCCGTTTGTCTGCGAAAAGCGAAGCTTTCAGACTGCATTAAGATGAGTAAGTGGAACTTCACTCGGGTTTTCCCGACCCCTTTTGCTCTTAAGCGAGACACCTGGCGTTTCACCTTTGACAAAACTCAGACAATCAGAGTGCTTAAGTGCTGCTCCCCAAACAAATGAGACTGCGTTCCAAGTTTGGCCAAAAGTTTTCTTAAAGTCGCCTCGCTTGAAAGTGCACCCACTTCAAAAAGTCGGATAGGTGGTGGGCGTCGGGAAAACCTAATCGTTGTGGGACATGAAATTCATGCCGCATCAAATTACCTATCCTAGAGACTCCCATCAGCCGGAGAAGAAGATATTATGCAAAATAATATATAATTTTGATAGCACCCAATTTGAGCCTGTCATAACAAGACCGGCTCACCCCCGTCGACCTCGTCCTGCGGAAAATCGATATATGTAAAAAATGTTTGCATGACTTTAGGAAATTTAGCAAACTTTTTCCTCCGCTTTTGTTTTCCTTTTCTGGTGGTTTGCGCGCGCGTGTGTGAGTGCGGCGATATGAGAGCTTCATTGATATGAAAAATATCTTTTAAATGCAATAAACCAACGAGAAAACGATAGCAAATGGGGGTGGGGGGCGGTGGGCTAGGGCGGTTTAGGAAAAACAAGACTCATAAAATTAATATGATATAATAAAGAAAAATTTGCAAGCTGCCAAAAGCATAACGATTGATTCTGAATTATAGCCCAAGGGGCGGATGGTAACCAGACAAAGAAAAGCGCATACAGTGGTGGTAGGAAAAATAGAGCCCAGATGCTTGGATTAGGCAGGTTGCGTTACACCATAAAAAAACAGCTCTTATAGCTCTTATTCCTAACTAAGATGATAGACAGTTTATATTACAGATGTAATAAGTACAAACATATGTCAGAAATTAGGAATTCAATTAAATTACAATCTCTTAATATTAATATTTCATCTTTAGTTGTGGAACCAGCATTTTACCCGGTATTGCTTGGGGAGGATGGGGGGAATATGTTTGAGGAGGACCCAAAATCAAATCGAATAAATAACACGCAGAACCCCCAAGAAAAAAGAAACAGCGACAGCAACCCAAATATGTTCGGCAATCAATGGCAGCCGAAAAAGAGAAGAAAAACTTTCGATGCCGCAAGGAATTTTCCGAGGGATTAGGGGAGCCACATGGGCAGGGGTTTCGGGGGAGGGGCGGGGGCGGTGCGGTGCGGTTGGCCACTTGCTCCACATGCAGCGAAATTAATCATGGCATTGTTCGGCGCTTTTCAAAATAATAAATACTTCAGCGCGACTATAAAATAAATTACTCAAAATCATTTCGTCTCACTAACGCAACAAGGGAATGGGTCTGAAACTCTGAAATGGGGAATGGGGAATGCCATGTGACTCTGGGCACTGGATCATGACAACAAAATATATATATTCGTGTTATGTATTCCAAGATTCGGGGGTGGATCGCGGAACAGTGTCAAGTTTTCCGTTTCGCTTTTCCCCGCGCACGTGGCAACTTCAAAATGAAACGAACGAAATGCCAGGGGAATTTGTTGATCATTAATAATGTGGCACAAAAAACATTTCAGCCACTTAGGTGCCATGAATGAGCGCAATTGAAACAGGAACCGCTCCCATCGAGAATATGAAAAAATAGGCATGGCGAAATGTACAGGGCAAAAGGTTTTAAAACACAAGACCTCTTTCTCGGTGCTTAAAAGTTAAGAAAGAACGTTCAATATTTAACCATCATTTATCTAAGGCCATTAAACATTTAAAGCCGAGCCGATTTATGTGAAATTGAAACAAAATTCATGTGCATTTTGGGCCATTTTCATTTCACCATCTAGGCTGCAAGTCTCGTCCTAAAAAAACTGGAACAGCAATATTCGTATTCCCATTTTTCGGCTGCTATTATTATTTTTGTTTTCATTGCATTTTCTTTTTCTTTTCATTTTGTTTGTTTTTCGGCGTCGCAGCCACTTCCGCCCGAAAAAAAACTTTGGGCTTTTGTTTCGAATTTTTCCCATTTTCATTTTGGAATGGGCAATGGGAATATTTATACGTCAGCGCCTGACTTTCCACACCCACCGCCTCCTTAAATATTACCCTCGTCTGTTGTGTGTGCTTCTTTTTTAATTTGGAGCAAAATGTCAAAAAGCTACAGAAAATTAAGTAAACAAACTATAAAAGCAGATTATAAAGACCCATAAACATAAACAAGAGCGGTGCTCCTCGAGATATGCAAATGAATTGGAAATCCAGGGGAAACTAACTTCAACCGTTGATAACTTCATTAACAAATTGGATCCGAGATGGGCCGAACTAAGAGCGGCTAGTTGTAAATTAGTCGTGAATATTCATGGAGCGAAAAACGCGCCGAAAACACTTTAAAAGGCGTCTCATAAATTTCTCGGCCCGACTGCTTTTTAAATATAATGCCATTATAAAAATTATTTATTCCTCGTGGACTTGAATTATTTATTGCCTACGGGAAGTGTTTTCCACTCTTAAGTGAGCTCAAGCAATAAATATACTTTAGAGCAGCAGCCTTTGCTTGTGACTCAATAGAATCAATATCTAAATTCCAAGTGAGAGGGTATAAAATGACCGGTCATTCAGCTCAGCCAAATAAAGAGGGGGTTGCGGACATTTACCTATCCCTACTTTCGCGACATGTCCTCAGATATCCGGAGGATGGAACCCACAAGTCGTGGGTCCTTCCGCGCATGATGATCCTGTTTGCCAGCGGCGATATGGATCAGGTTGTAAGCGCCATAGTTGAGGATATGATCCATCCGATTGGGAGTGGACAGGTGGCCAGTGTGTTGGTAGAGGAGTCGATACGCGACGAGATGATTAGGAAAATTCGAGCCAACCTGAAGCCGATGAACGAGCGCATTCAACGCCATCCGAATTACCTAAAAACGGAAAAGCTCATCGAACGAATGAACTGCAGCACCATACACATCGAGGAGTTCGACGAGTCGGATACGAAAAAGCGTTATGGGCGCAGGATGAAGGGATCCCCTCTGATAGTTTTGGATTTCCCCCAATACTATTTCGGGGACAAGCCCACGGCCGTAATGACTTTGAGCACCTTCCGGAATATGAGCGAAGTGGTCAAGTTGCATGCGCGCGAAGGTCTGCACTTCGATACCATCTCCGTGTGGTCATCCAAGTTGGCCCAGTGCTTCGACCTGCTCACCAGGCTGCCCCGCGTGGATCAGTGGACCTTCAACTGCACCAATGAGACCATCAAGATTCCGAAACTGCCGGCTCAACCGACTACCACAGTTGCAATCGAGAAAAACGTGCACTATGAAATCCACGCCATTGGCGGAAAGATCAAAACTATAGCGTTTCCAATCGTAGATACTTCTTGAGCTAAGCTTACTTCTACAAATGTATGCCGTGGCAATAAGATACGCTTTTGTCCTGCAATCGTAACTCGGTGGTTGGGAGGGGGGGAGGGAAATGTGCCCCCACTGCGATTGCTGACTTTTCTTGGAAAATCCACCCATCAATCGGTTTGAGAATATTTATGGGCCCAACGACTCTAATTTGTAAATCTCAAACCCATCGAACTCACACACGCGCGACAGATAATTTGTCAGATAATGGCTCATCTATCAGTTTTTGACAAGATTGATAGCTAGATAATGCGATTGATAAATCTCCATTATTTTTCAGCATCCTTTCTCTCCATTCCCCCGAGTTAATTTGAAGGAAATCGGAATGCAGGGTGCGATTTTCCCCCCACCGCTGAGACAATGATTTGATTTTGGCCATGTCACTTGCCATGTCATCATCCCCCCGGAGAGGTGATTTCTGTCCTGGCTTCCACACGCCCACCATTTATCATGGCGCAGGAGGTGCACAAGAGAAAAATGTTTGGATTCAGGCATTTGTTTGGCATTCAGGAATGCCAGCAATTGGCTGGCATATTTAACAAGTATTTAACGTGTAATATGACGTGCCACTCTAGATCGCTATTTTAATGACCTGTTTATTGTTGGGAAAAGAGAAGAATGGCAGAGTTTGTTTCAGTGTGCAGCACCGCCTTCAGCTAAGTAAGTGACTCCATGAAATCAAGGTTTATGCGGCAGGGGCAATAAAAGTGCCCATTGATTGGCATCATCTGTCGGATGGATTCCTAGCCCAATCACACACACTGGACCATTAATTCCAACCGTTTACCGATCACATTGTGATGGAAATGAGGTGACAGTTACTGTTCCATCGAGGTGTGATCGTTAAATTCTGGTCACAAGCCAGAAAAAAGGCTTAAAAGCGTCAGCCAATTGATTTTAGATCAAATTTCTATAAACGTTTCAATTTTAAGCCCTTTAGTTGTAAGAATTAAGCGAGGTTATCTCCGGAGATTGTGGAATCCTAAACCTTGAAATTAAGCTTGCTAGCCAAGGAATGAAATGGCAGCTTGGATTTAATGTGCCTGGCCGAAGTTCAGTAAATTATTTAGTGGGCAGTGGGTAATAAGCACACACACTGATTGCAGGTTATTTTGATTCAAGTGACTTCTTTCTCACTTGCCCCGAACTTTCCCCCTAATAACATTAAAAATTGATTTCAATGACTTGTGGGACCACACAAGTCGAGCCAAATTAGTATCACTAACTCCAAATTGGTTTTCCCATGTCATATAATTTTGTCAAATTACCAATTCACTCTGGCAGACGACGACTGCGACTGTATCCATGAAGTAGATTACTATCGATTTCCAAGCGATGGGTTTTTCTGCTCCTTGCTCTCTATTTTTGAGCCACTCATGCTGTTTTAAAAATAGTTGAAAGCATTTCCCGAAAAAGAACAAGGCTCACAATAATACACAGTCAAACAAAAACAAAAAAACAAAGAAAAACCCAACATCAAAGCGGAAAATCGCTTATGCAGGAAGCACTTTTCTTGGCGACTGAGATTTTCCACATGCAGCAGAGGAAAACTCTTATCCTAACCCGCTCCGTTTTCCTCATCCCTCTTCCCTCTGCTTCTGCTTATGCTTCCATTACATTTTTGTGTGGGAACGTGATTTCAGCATAATTCCGTATATCAGCGCGCATAAATGGGGCATGCCACACGTTCGTTCGCTAAAACGGGGAAAAGGACACTCGAAGCGAGTCCACAGTCACGGCCACAGGCTCAAAGGCAGGACATCCCGCCAACACACACACACACTCACACACACACACGCACAGACTTAGATTTTGAAACCAGACTGCACTTTTACCAGTTTATTGTCCTTCCCCTGCTAAAATATCCGGCCAGGTCAAGTACACGCCGGAAAATCTCCTCGAAATCCCCACACAAATATGAGAGCAGGCGGCTCAGCACATCAAGGGTGTTCAGTGTTCAAAAATAAAGTCGGTGAAAAAGCCGAAAACACTTTGACTGATTTGTATGTGGAGCACACAGGGAGCTGCACAGGGGGTGGCACGAAAAGTTTCTATAACATAAATAAATGGTAAATATAACTACGAGTATATGTTGCTACCAAACCAACCAGGCAAAGGTTTGATTCACTAGACCTTTGGGTCTGTAATGCGATTATCAAATTCGATTCAAGTTCTCTCCACTTAATATTATGGCATGGCTATAGCTGCTTTGGCACCTGAATGCTTACACTGCTCCGAACTGCTTGGGCACCCCTCGCTGACCACTGCGATCTGAACCAAAAATGAGGCGAAATCCATTGATTCATTGAGTGCCAATTTACAAATCGAAAGGCAGCCGCCAATGCACAAACGGCAATCTCAAGCGGAATCAGAATCAGAATCGCAATCGAAATCGGAGCACACACGGAAATCGAGGGGGGTGGTGGTGGGGAAAAGGGGTGGGAACTCTGTGGCAAGCTGGAAAACATGAAAATCGAGCGCTTTAATATTTTGAGCCCATTGATTTTTGAGCCACCCGCTGGCCATCCGATGTGCCCGTAACCGTAGCCATGAACAAATCCTCAGCCGCACCCACTGGCTTTCCACATGCATATGTGTGGTGTTTGCTCAAAATGTTTTGCCCGGGATTTTCCACAAATTTTTCATTCATTCATTGGGACTGCTGGGAGCTGGGAAGTGGGAAGTGGGATCTGCGCCGCCGCTGCGGGTGAGTAATTTTTCAAGTATTTTCCATGTTTCCATTTTCCGACCATGTCTGTGTGCTGAGCTCCTGTTGCGGCTCAATGGGCGGGGGTCCTGCGCTGTCCTGGTATGTCCTGGTAAGTCCTTCGCCAATATCCCCGAAAATCAAAGATTAAAATGAGCAGCGAGAACGGCGGAGGTCCTTTCCGTATTTGCAGGAGTGCTTAGGCCCGGTCAGGGATCGGTTTTGATTTCCTCACCAGATGCTGCTGTTTTCCCCGACCGTCGCCAGCATTTTTCCACAAATTATTGTACAAATATTTGACTTTCAACGAGAGCGCCGCGAATGGTGCCAAGAAAAAGTGTAAAAAGATAAAAAAAAACCCGCGCTACACATTTATTGAATTAATGGATTATTTGTGCGTCAAAACAGCTGCGACCTCTTCCCGTTTGGATTTTTTAGCCTCCCCGGATTATTATTCAAATCGTTTTCCGACCTTTTTTATTGAAATCCTCTCGGAATTACCCTGTGTTCTTTGAATGGAAATCGAAGCCAATGTATTTAATTAGCTGCAAATTTAACGGGCTAATCCGTGAAACGTTATAGAAATTGAATCAAATTTTCAATTACACGGGGGTAATCAAAGTGTCATGAGGGAAATGTGAAAAATGCCAGCTAACATGGTGAACGATGATTGAGCGCCCGTTTTGATTGACAACCCATAAAAAAGCAAGTTCAAAGCATGGCCTTGTTATGTGCTATTATCATTCAAACTAAAATTTTAAGCATTGAAGGGTTCAAAATGACATTAGAATTCTCTTAAGAATGGCAAAGTAAATGGAATGAGTGGCAACAATGTTATTTCCATTTCTAGCACCCTTTTTTTTTACCAGAATTAGTACTGCAGTTAAGCATACCGTTTGCATGTTCAAATTACATTGAAATCGGGTAGCAGAGCCGGAAAAAAGGGCCGCAATCACAGAGCACAAAAACCATTTCACAATTTTCTGTTCCAATTGGCCAAAACACACACTCGCAAACGTTAAGTGGGGCTTTGGCCATTTGTAGGCTTGTGTTTAGTCGGTTTTTTTATGGCCCACATGAATTTCAGTTGTGGCCACTCCATCCGCAAAAACATACGGCGAAATAAAATCACAAAGCACACACACATGTGCCACAATTTGGCCAAAAAGCTGAACATTAAAATGCACTTGTTAACAAGTAATTTGTTGGGAATGGCAGATATTTGCTTATCGCAGCCATGAAATCAGTTTAGCCGACTAAAAAAGGTTGCATATTTGATTAGACATAGCCTCGTTAGGGGCATGAACCTTTTGGCCAGCGTGGTGGCAAAAGGGACAGTAGTTCGAGTGTGTGTGTGTGTGTGTGTGTGTGGCATAGTGGCGACCCTCTGGCAAACTAGGGGGTGAAAAACTATACCCTGCCTGGAGTACTTCCATGTGAGCAAGTGCATCACTTACAATTAAGATCGTAATCACTTCGAATGGTGTTATAAATAAGTCACGCTGTGTGGGCGCGGGGGGATTACCAGCCAGATTACCATAACGAGGCAGCATCTGAAAGCACTTAGGACCTCCTGCCCCAGCTTCACTGTATCTGAATGAGAGGCCATTCGGCATGAATTTAATCTTTATTGGAGGAGTCAGGGTGAGTCAAGTGCGCAAGTACTTGAAAATAATGCTTTATAAGGTCTGCTTTTGGTGCTGGTTCTGAAGACCGAGGTCTGGAATCTGGAATCTGGAATCTGCAGTCTGGAGTCTGGCATTCCGCTTCGACAAATCCCCGCAGGCGAGACAAAATCAATTTCAATCAAACAAATGCAGCGCGTCGAAGGCGGAGGAAGCAGGAGTCGGAGTCCCCAGACAAAATCCACTCAAGTGTACCAATAAAAACATGAAATAATTCGAGCCAGGCACAATTTTCTGGCTGCCACAGTTCCGAGGGGTGGTTTTTTTTACTTCATGGGTGCTGCTTTGAGTCACTGGAAATGAAATGAAATGCATGTAACGAAATAATTGAGAATAATCGAGTTTAAATCACATTTGGCTTTGACACGGCTGACAAAGACACAATGATGATCCCGATCACGAGGGGTTCCCAAAAACCAGAGGGTGACGAAGCGCTGAGGGGTGAACAAGGGCGAGCGAAAGTTCAACTGCGACCTTCCACATGCCGCACATCAAGCGGATGAACTGTCAAAAACAATCCTACAAGTTGCATTTTCCTAGTCCAAAAAGTCATATTTAATCTGGGGTTCGCTGAGTAGTCTTCATTTACTCTACGTCGTTGCAAATAAGTTTGCTTAAGCTGCTTGCGATCA